GCGCCGCCCAGTCTCCCCTCGGCCGGAGGTCGCTGCTCGCCAGCCTCAGAGAGGGTGGTAATCGCGGGGGAGGAAGGGGGCACGCAGGTGGGGAGGGAAGCACCTTACGTTTAGTAGCCTTTCCTGCTAACATCACCTGCCTGAGGTTCTTGATTGTAAAGAGGTGCTGAGCTCTTGTTTCATATAATGCCCCATCCCTGGAGGGGTTCAAGGCCAGGCTGGATGAGGCTTTGGGCAACCTGGGCTGGTGGGAGGGGTCCCTGCCCATGGCAGGGGGTGGCACTGGGTGGGCTTTAAGGTCCCTTCCAACCCAAACCATCCTGGGATTCTATAATACCTATGGAGGGGAATTAAGTGCCTAACCCCCTCTAAAAGTTGGGGACCTAAATGGTATGCTTATGGTTACACAGAAAGTGCGTGGTGGATCGGCTAATGAAAGCCAGATCTGTCAGGTTTCAGGTTAGTATCCTACCTAATGAACCAATTCTTATTGTTTTTGTTGTTAATGCAGAATTTAAAAGAGTGGCTGTCATGTCACAGGACTGCAACGATGAGTGGGAGCTGAGCAAAGAGAATGTGCAGCCCCTCCGGCAGGGGCGAATCATGGCCACCTTGCAGGAAGCCCTGGCTCAGCAGGAGACCTCCACCCACACTGCTGTGCAGCTCAAAAAACAGTGAGCAATGTTTTGACACCTTCTTTCCCCTTATCTTCCTGCCTTATTTAATGTCACAGTATATCTGTCTGACAGTAACTCCTCATAACAGAACAAGAATTCTGTTAAGAGAGACCATATAAGCCTTGGGGTAGTAGAAATTATTGGAAATATCCTTTGGAAAGATGCATATCTGTTCTTGTTAAATAATGTTACAGTTCCCAGTGCTTTCATTTTGAGGAGTACAAAAGCTTTTTTTTATTATTCTTCTGGTCTCAGTAAAAGCTCAAGTATAAATATATGCTAACCTACCCTTGTATTTATTGGATGGATAATTTTGTTTTTTAGGGAGTTTGAATCGGAAATCCGATTTTACTCTGGAGATGATCCACTGGATGTCTGGGACCGGTAAGCTTACTTTTATTTCAGCAGAAAGACTAGAAAGGTCAGATACCCTTGTAAAGCTTGTGAAAAAAAATTTTAATTTAATAAGGATCTCATTAAAATATAGGTTCTATAACTTTTTTGAATAATACGTTGTGATTCATACTATGTCTATTTTTTTCTCAATCTCGTCATGTTGTACAGAAACAGAAGCTTTGTATCTTCTTCAGAACTGACTTCCTATGAATGTATTCCACCTCTAGGTACATCAAGTGGACAGAGCAAACCTTCCCCCAAGGTGGAAAGGAGGGTAATCTCCCAGCAATATTGGAGAGGGCAGTGAAAGCACTCCATGAACAGCGGCGGTACTACAAAGATCCCCGTTATCTTAGTCTCTGGCTCAAATTTGTGAGTGTTTTGCAAATATCTCTTGGGTTCTGCTTTTTGTCATGTCATTGGCACGCAGTTAGGCTGATTTTTGTAACAATAGAGTCGAAGAATACGTTGTACAACTGGTGCGATGTTAGAAGTCTCTCTCTGCAAACATGTTACCTACTCTTGGATTGCACTTATTTTCAATAGGATCTTCAGATCTTTTTTAGGATCATTCAGTTTGGACAGCTACAAAGTCCATAAGTTTTGTTTTGGAAAAGCTAGTTTGAATAAGTGGAGCTTGATTATTTATTTAAGGAGAAAAAGTGATTTGAAGATACATTTTAGGTCTTATCTGTCCTACCAGTTATTTTGACTTCTAACTGTCTTGTAAGCAAAACCAAGCTGAGCATGTTCTGGTCTTAGCTTGTCTCTCCATTGCTAAAGTTTTTGTTGTTGTTCTCATAGTCTTAAAGCAGCTTTTCTCCTGATTTAGCTTCCTGAGCTGATTTACTAGTTTTGACACTGGTAAAAAGTATGTTGTACTTTATCAAAAGATAAAATCATTATTCTCAGGAATACTACTATGACATAGTTCAATAATTGAATTATCCCAGATTAAAAAAAAAAATCTAAGAAATTCTGACTTTGAACATACAGGCTACAATTAAGGTAATAAAATTGACAAATATATACATGCATTTAGAGGTTTTTCTCATTATTATTATTCTCCTATTTAATTCCTTTTCTTTATCTCGGGCACTGTGACATGATACAGCTCTACGTCCTGGCCTTACAACTGCTCCTGTAAGACTTGTACTGAAATCAATGGGGTCTTGCAGGAGGCATCAAAATCCAGACATCAACTTGAAATCCTTTGTAGTCCAATGCAATTACTGAAGTAATTTGGTTGTTTCAGGGAAATTGTTGTAACGAGCCCTTGGATCTGTACAGTTATCTACACAGCCAGGAAATTGGCACAACATTGGCCCTACTCTACATCACTTGGGCAGAAGTACTCGAGGATAGAGGAAGTTTTAAGAAAGCAGATCTGATATACCAGGAAGGTCTTCAGCGCAAGGCTGAGCCTTTGGAAAAACTCCTGTCCCATCACAGGTAAGCTTCCAGCTAAAGGGAAGAACTTAGTGTAGTGTTGTGTTCTTCAGTGGATACCTGGTGCAGTGAAACTTTGCTGACTTCTCCAATATTTTTCTCAGGCAGTTTCAGACCCGTGTTTCTCGGCAAACACTACTGGGGCTTGAGGAAATTCCTGATGAAGAAGATGCGGGTCTTCTGGGAGCTGCAGAACCTCAGAGAAGCTCACTGGCAGATCTAAAAGGCAGGGGGAAGAAAAAAGTGAGAGCCCCAATTAGTCGAAAAGGTACGTTCAGTTGCTGAAACTACATATTATTATTAGAACAGTTGTGTCTTTTTGTTGTGGAATTTACAGTTGCTAAAGTTCTTGAGTGTGAGAGTTTAAAAGCTAGTTTGCCTAATAATTTTTTTTTGCCTATAGCCACGAACCAAAACAGAAGCTTCCAGACTCTAACTTCTCAGCAGCTTTCAAACAATCCGGGTTTTGCTGTGTTTGATGAAAACTCAGCTCCAGCTTCTGGACCCGAGATTCCCATACTTACACCACAGCCATGGGCAGCACCTCCAGCTCCGAGGGCCAAGGAGAATGAACTGAGCGCAGGACCTTGGAACTCTGGCAGGGTAAGGAGTCTCAAAATGGACTGGCAAAAAAGAGGAAGGCGTGTGTAAGCTGATGACTTCTTCTGATACCGAGACAAAAGTCGTCGTACTCCTCTCTTGCCTGGGGTTTGTGTCTATTTGTAACTACAAATCTTCCTGGCTTCTTCCTAAAGAGTCTCTGGCTGTGTGTAACCTATTAAAGTTTAGCAAGATGATCTTGCTAGAATAAGTTTAAAAAACTCTCTAGAGTTCTTAAATCAAGAAATTATAATACTTGCTAGCCAGAAAAATTAGTAGAGGTGGCCTGTCAAACTGTTTGGGAGACAAAAGGAATATAAGTGGGAAAACACTAGCCAAAGAAAGGGACAGAAGGCAGGCATTAGTTAATTCTGTAAGAAAGAGCAAGAGTTAAACTGATATCATACAATACAACCTGAAAGAAGAACTTGTTGCCTATCTTATGAAAATAAGACATGTACGGCATTCTGCAAGCCTGTTTTGAAGTGCTTGTGAGGAAAACAGAGATCAAAAGAACTGAAGAACTACTGTATCAATGGAATATTTATCCTGACAATAGGATGACAGAAAGTAGGTTCCAATGGTTTAAACTAATGCTGAAGACATGAAAAGAAGCAGCTGCGCTACAGGTGTTTAAGCTGTTCTAGAGAAACCAGCCAAGACATTATCTGAAGGAAATGAATCCTATGAAATCAAGCTTGTTTCATAGGTGCTTCGATAACCCCCCGTGTTCCTCTGTTCTTTCTGCATTAGAGGGGAAGAATAGAGAGTAATCAGATGATAATAATTTAGACTTTTCAATGCAGAAGTACTTACGAGTGAAGCTTAGAAACAAAAAGTAGGATAAATGGAGGGAAGCAAATGGGCTGAAATTCATGGAAGCTCCAGGCAGAATTACTGCCAGATACAAAGCAATTGCCAGATACAAAGCAATTGATTAAGTAAATGTTAAAGTTCAGTAAATCAGAAGTTTAATTTAGCTGAGAAGTGAGACAGGGGAGTTTAAAGTTAGAAAGGGATCAAGAGAATAACTACTTGAGAATAGCTGTTCGGACAATGTATGATTAACGTTTGCCGTGCTTGGGAAGACAGGATGAGAGGATCAAAGCTGTGATGATGGGGGAGGAACTGCTGACCCAACCGAGAGGAGAGAATACAACACCTGCAAGGCCGTGGAGATAGGGAGGGCTGCTTAGCCTCTAAACAAGATGGAAACCAGCCTGGTTCTTTGGACTGAGACCAAGAGACCAGGAGGTGAGAAGTTCAACTCCGATGAAGACTCATTTAATTCATCCTGTCAACCACTGGACGACCACCAGGGAGCACTGCACAGGCGCAGAAGGACTCTTTAGCTCATTATAATACGAAGCGGGGCTAGGCAGGGCTAGGTAATTAATATGAATGGCTGGATTACAAAACTTAATGCATATGCAACATTTTGGGGAATAAATAGAGGGATTTTTGCGAAAAGGCACGCATGTCTTTGGTGGAGCTATCCCCCATGCACCTCAGCGCTGAATAAACTACATATCTACTTTACAACTTTCATGAGTTGTGGAGTCTTTACGCTTCAGAAGAATGAGGAGGAAGAATTATTAATATTAATTTCTTTTATCAGTTGCTTTGCTTTGGGCTGCTTAACACATTCATTCTGGTCCCCAAATACTCTTTTAATGTCTGTCCTTGGAGTTCTCTCTGTTCCCCCTTTCATGAAATTTGTTAGATTTAATTAAAAAAAAAAAAGAAGCTGCAACTAGCAGAAGTGTTGAAGATGCTTAGTTCACCTTCACTGAAGTGTGGTGCTTATTCTGGCTTGTATTACACTGAAAGAACCTTTTGTAAACCCTTTGAGATAATAAAAACTGCGCAGAGTAAAGAGGCTTTTTTTATTGCCAGTGTGAAGATGGCTAAGTAAACAGTTTGAAAATAAGAGAAATAAGTCAATTTGTGAAATATTCCCACCACGTAACAACTTCTGCTTACGAGTCTAGGGGAATTTCCGATGGGCAGATGAGAGTAGAATGTTGTCAGACTAAATTCGATCTGTCTTCTCTTAAATAATGGACTCCAGAAGTAGTTAAGAGATTTTTGTGATGTTGGAATGGCCTCTGAGAGGAAAATTGAGAAGTCTGAAGGTTCTTGGTGGACAGCAGAATAAATGCTATAACAGAATTGGGACAGTCTTGTCTGAAAAATGAGGACTATAGCACTTCTGGAAAACAAATAAGAGGAGCAACCAGAATACCCGGCTTGACCAGCATTCCCTCAGAATAGCAGAAACTAGGTACTGAAGGGGACATGCAGGAGGAGTGTGTGCTTTTTTACATGCTAGTGCTGAGCTGATGGTCTATAAATGTTTATGTATCCGAACAGAATTAATCTTGTAAATTCATCTTGGTGAAGTCTATCAAGTTTGTTTTTTGTTTTTTTTTTAAATAACAAAACCTACAAATGAGACAAATAGACAGGGAAAAGAGATTCAGAGTATAGAGGGATGTAGAGTCTAAAAATTAGTCTTTAAGCTGTTAACTTAGATTTTATTTTTTTTTCCTCCTTCCTCAGCATCCTTGCAACAGTGCAAATTCTGGTACAGAAGTGCCCTGTCCACGGCCCAGTTTCACTCCATATGTGGAAGAGACGGCTCAGCAACAAATCATGTGAGTCTTCAGTTTGAAATGGGGATTGCATTTGAAATTACCAAATCTGCTCCATAAAAACCCAAATCATTTTACCAAGTAGCCAAGCCTCTAGATCTACAAGAATTTAAAAATATCTGTCAGCCTGGAAGCTCTTAGTGCTTTAGCTTGATGGCAGAGGCTTCAGTGGAAGATGCATAAGGACGTGGGAAGTGTTTAACTATCACGGCTCATTACATGGGAGCCTACATCATATTTATATATGCTAATTAATTTAATAGCTTAACTCTCTGTCTTTACACAAGAAGACAGTTACCTCTCCTAGGATGCTGTTTGCTATGAAAGCAGCCCTGAACTGAGGCAGGCTTTTTGCTGTTTTCCTCTGTCTTGGGAACTCTGTGTTCATTCTACCTAGAGTTTTATTCTGAAACAAGCTATCAGAGTTTCCATGACAACAGTGTTGCTTAGGTTATGGAGGAGTATGCTGTTTTGCCTGAAATTACCTTCCTATTTGTACAGTGCTCACTGAAATGTTGATAAATCCCAGGAGATGGGGTTGTTCTGTTGGGTTAGAGCAGAGGAAAAAGCATTATTTTGCAAAGCCACTTAACTTCCTTCTGTGGCTAATCATAGAATCATAGAATGACCCGG